TAAATGTACGTAGTTTATCTTTAGCGGGGTGGAGTTACGAACGATCCACGCGGCATCGGAATTACAAGTGTTGCAGTTCAACGTGCGATTAAATTATTCCGACTCGGTGGACGTTTCCCTCGCATTCGATGGCGAAAAGGGGAGGGGAAGGGACGCTTATTTATTCGGTAAATCCGGGAACGGCGAGAATAAACGTCGCTGACAAAAACAGCGTGCTCGCGGCCGCGCGTGTACGCTTCGTGAAATTGAGTTACCAACCGCCTCGTTATTCTCGTGAGACTCGAAATAAAGTGGCGGGGACATCCGCCAAGGATTGAGTTACCGTCCACTTAATTGACCGCCCGCAGAAACGAGAAGAGGACACTGATTGACAGCGAGATGCAGCTGTCATCGAGGACCGACCTCGAGGAAGGGCGTCCGCCAGAGACCGTGCACCGGCCTTTAATTGGTCTTTGCTCCAAATGCTCTCGGCAGCCTCGGTTGTTGAAAGAAATTTGGGAGAGAGTCGCCACGAAACGCGCCAGTTTCTATTAGGATCGAACGGTCCTATCCCTATCCTTTTGGCCTAGAGGCGCTTTTAAAATTTGCTCTCGAGCGTGATGCTTAACTAACTTGCCTGTAAGTGCTCGCTTCACATTGCTCGAATCGATCAGACGTGAGTGAATCCTAATTCAATTGCACGATTACACCTTCCGTTAGTCGTGTATTGTTTAAACGTGATTATTTCACAGTTTTATTTCATTCAGTACCCTTGTAATGAAAAGGTATGGTGATAAATTAGATCAGAAAAAAGACGCAAATGCGTAGTGCGTAGAAACGGAAGAAGGGAGACAAATGCAAGAAATAGGATTATGTTTGATAATTGATCCATGTTTCGAATTGTGCCACACATCGCTAGGTTATTAGATATATTACGAAGTGAAGCTTAAATTTTACGTGTACCAACAATTCAACGCAGAACACAAATAAATAAATAATACTGGTTTGACCTAGAGCAATTCAGGGTTTCGATTATTTCAATGTACTTTCTGAGAAATGTACGCTGACGAAATGTTCGAACGAATTCGTCGTTCTCGATGTAGGTCGCAATTGAACACCTATCGGACGTATGCTACATGTAGTACCTATCAGAATCTGTCGCAGCGAAAGGGTTATCGTTCCCTTTCTAAAATTCGACCAAGACGCGAAAACTTTTCGTAGAGAAATGATTCCTCCGTAGAAATTTCGTTTGACAAATGGCCTTTTCAGAGAGAATAAAAGAAAGAGGAAGACACTTGACGACCATCCAAGTAATATCAAAGATGCACCGGGACGACCATGATTTTTCGAGGGTAGCCAATAATTCGGGGCAAGATTCAGTGAGAGGCAGCGCGATGTGGTCTCGCCGTCGTCGAATCTCTCGAATTACATAAACCCAAATAACCTCGGTGTATCATTCTAATTTCGGTTCCGCCGAATTTCGGGATTGCACCGTTACCAACCCCTTCCTCCGGTCTCTCTCTCTCTCTCTCTCTCTCTCTCTCTTTCTCTTTGTCGCATCCGTCGCGTTCTTGCGTTTGTGCGACATCCTGAGCGTCGCCTGCTTCTTGCTCTTGCCGTCTGCCGTATAAATAGCCGTGGCACGTGTGTGTCGTCTGTGGCCCACTTTTCTCCTTGGCCTTACTTGAAATTAGAGAACCTCGTACCTTTTCATTTCCCCAACTGCGCGGTAGGGGAAATGAAACCATCTCCCGTGTCTGCGACTTCACGCAGTAAAACTCCATTCCCCTCCGGTTTTATCGACGTTTTATTAATAAGAAATTCCATCCATCTCTTATCAAGTTTCTTTGGAGATGACGACCATCGTTTCGTTCGCAAATAATTGTTGGATTCCGTGTAATGGAGTCAACACGCTTGCAATTTAGAAGAGTTTAATCCCTTATAGTCGTAGTCGTGTATGAAATAGAATGATATAGAATGATTTGCAATGTTTAATGCTCTTGAATATGATGTTGAATGATTTAGAATGTCTGATGCTTTTGATTTGCTCTGCATAATGATTTATGATCTTAATGATATAGAATATCTCTATAATGATTTATGATGTTTTTATGCCCTTAATAATATGGAATGTCTTTATAATGATTTAGAATGTTTTATGCTATCGAATATCTCTAAAGCATGTCTTTATATACATTTGGTTATCATCATCAAGTGGAAGGGGAAGGAGCATAGATGACCAACTATTGGATCTTACCCTTATGACTAACTATTCACATCCACTTTTATGTGGACTGTTGCTAGCTCATTGTCAGTATAGATTCAATATTGTCCGGATTGGTCATCCAACATAATAACCGAGGCAAATCGAATCGAAATAAAAGCTCGGGGAACCTCTCTTTTGCACACCTAATCCAACAACCCATCAATTGCAACAAGTATTGAATTTTTATTTTATTGTAAATGTAAGGACGACGATAACTTGGTAAGTAAGAGCAAAAGAAAGAAGAGTAGAAGAGATACCTGAATTTTAACTTGAAATTTACTCCCGCGAATGAATAATGCAAATTGCTAAAATTAAACGAGCATGTCACTGGAATAGTTTCTGAGAAAAAGTCAACCGTATTTTCATTCTGTTCCAATGCGATTGGATCGTATCTACTTCGCACTCTCTCCCCGTCTCATCGTACGTGAATCTCAATTACGCGAGTGAAAATAAAATCTCAATTACGCGAGTGAAAATAAAATCTCTAGAGTCTGAAATCTCTCGCCGAACCAGAAAAAAAACCGCCGCCAAAAACGAGAAATAAATAAACTCGTTGGATATAACGGCGAGGCAAGTGAAAAGCGCGTTCCACACAGAAGTCCAGTAATTCTCTCTGTATCGAATACAGCTATGGTTTCGAACGCGACACATGTGAGGTTTCCTCATATCGCCGTGTAATAATGGTGTCAAACAGATCCGATCTGACGGATCGCATCCGCGAAACCGGCCGATTTGCGCTCGTCACCGATCTCTCGCTTCCATCGTCCCAGATCTCGTCCCGTTCGCGGTACATTTTTACGGGGCAATGACGCTGAATAGTGTGGTCGTTGACGCTCACACAGAAGTAATGAGAATTGTTGCACGCCGCGCGATTCTACGCGATTCAACGTAGCCAGAAATCTACGAAGTTTGGACGTAAAATACTCTCAAATACTCTCTCGATGGAACGAAAATTTGGCAAGAATATTCCGATTTAAGGGGGTATTCTAGTGTGAACTTTTGAAAAAAATCGATTTTTTTTTTTACATGTTCTTGAAGGACATGGTTTCAAAAATAAATTTGTAACCTTACACGTAAACTACTCCTAAAATTAACGAAGTTATGGTTGTTTGAAGGACGCGACGACCAGCGTCATTGTTACTGCAATACTAAACTAAAGGCATTTTTCTGGAAATTATGTTTCTCAGAAAATTGACTCAAAATTTTAAGCTGGCATTTAGTACATGTGTGACTATAGCCCCTACCAGAATCAACCAAAAAATTTTATTTTTTATATTCTTTTAGGCTTCCGAAGTTTAACAAACACATGCAGAAATCGATAATCGAACTTCAAAGTATCGCCACTTTTTTAATTACCGATTTTTTTCTTTTGTTTTGGTACCTGCTATAGCCAAACTCATACTAATTGAGGAACATTCACGTTTTTTTATTTCCGACAAGCAGAACGGCCGGAATCATGGACACCGTGAGACGACCTTTTTTTAAAAGCGACTATGTTTGAGAGTATGCAATGACACTAATTTTAACTTTTTTTGTCCCAAAAAATTTTAAAACGTCGTTGAAATACGTACAAATAAACTTTGACAATTTGACTGCAAAGGGTGTAATAGTTTCTTTGTAAAAAATTCCCTAACAAAGTTAAAGAACCACGCACTTCATACTAGAATACTCCTTTAAGCGGAATATGGGTGAGGTGTGTTACTGCTTTCTCTCAACATTTTCGATTTTACACGTCAAGCGTCGTGTCGAAACAAATTTAGTACACTTGTGTTAAAAATTGAAAAACTTTAAGGTAAGAAAACAGCAAAGAATAGTAGCTGAATATTGCTCTTATTGATATTTATTATATAAACAGTGTAATAATGCAGTAGTAATTTTAATAGGTTTTATTAAAACAGTTTAGACTAAGATGTGGTTTTTCCTTTGGACCCATCACAGAATGTTGTAACTTTCTTAGTCACGTTTTTACTAATATTTCTTCTCAGCGACATTGTATTTTCTTCATAACAATTTTTAGAAAATTTTCTGACTTGGAATGCTGGATGCAGTAATACTGTGATCTTCGCGAAACTATATCGAATGGCGCAAACGGAAAAGTATGCATTATTCTCACTTGCAAGAGCAAGATTGCTACAACCATATTGCTAAATATAGATATATAAATATAGATAAATATGTATAAATATATATATATAAATATAGATAAATGTAGATAAATATATATAAATATATGTATATATAAATATAGAAAAATATATACAAATATATCTATATAAATGTAGATAAATATATATAAATATATACATATATAAATATAAATAAATATATATATAAATATAGCTAAAGACTATAACGGAATTAAGATTGAATTCTGTTTGAAGATAAACTGGCAAGTGATTCTGGTCAAAACAGCAGGTCTTGCAGTAGATTGCACCGTCTATAGTCAGACGAAGACACTTTACTGATTGTAATCAGTACCGATTCTTGCACATCTGTCACAATTTCGATCACACGATTAATCTTCAGAAGGAAACCAAATACATTTACTGTCATTTAAATACAGGAAATCCTGTACCCAAGTAATTACGAATTGTAACAACAATTATTGTAACGCTACGTACGAAACAATACAGGCATTGTAAACTGTTGAAACAGCGTTTCCTCTAAAAATAAAGATCCCGAGGATTCCGATTCGCCGGAAGTTTCTGTACGTTTCTGGCACCTCTTATCGGATCTATCTATGGTATAAAGCAGCTTGTACAAACCAGTGACCATTCAAATGACCAACGAGTGTCGCGCAACGATGGTGAAACTACGTGTGTCTCCTGTTTTAATATTGCTCGCAGTTTTCAGTGTCAACCTGGTGGAGCCGTTGGTGAAAGAGAGCTTGTCCAAATTTATAGGATCTTTAACGGGCGTGACACAGTACTTTTTTCTACATTGATCGATTTACATACGTACATACGCGGGTGGACGAGTTTCATGCATGTACATACGTAATTGTCGTTGCAGAGTGAGGATTCCGGAATTGTTGAACCAACTGTGCAACGAGTCCCAAGGATCGGATACGGTACGTCGAGATGCGTGTTACGGATGTTTCTTCAGGGCCTCTAGTCAAACCGTTGGCTATCCTTTGTTGGTGGCTTTGTCTAATTGCGCCGATGTTTATCTCAACAATACCGATTACGGCCACTGTCAGCAGTACCTAAGAGTAAGTATATTCTCGAACGCTCGAAGATTCTTTATCTCGTCACGGACTAGTTTAGTAAAATTGATCGTACATCTGTGTCGCAGAACGCCACCAGCATGACAAATTCAAGAACGAATCCTACGAGAATATACTGCACGTTCCTCGAATGTGTTCGACAAGTGAACAAGGACAATTTAGTGAGTAGATCGTTCAATTTTCCGCCCTTCGACCGACGCTTCAATCATTGCAGTGCCATTTAGGGCTATTTAAAAAATCAAATGTGTTAGACAGTGCCATGCAACGCGATAGCTTCCTTGACACAACTGTGAAAAATGCCAAACAACGCGATGAAAGTAGACAAAGGCAAAAACCTATTATGCCCATTTAAGCAAGTGATTTAGGTTTTAACGCTAGAACTACCGACAATCAAAGCATAAAATTTCCATTAAGAGTAACATTAAAGTAAAGAAATGAAAGAGCTTTGTAACGCAATAAATTACACAAGCTTTTATTTACACGTTTTTCGAGAAAGAATTAAAATTTTTAAAGATATGTCTATAAAATTTCTAATAAAAATTATAAATTGGTCATTTCGACCACTTTAACACTAATTCCAGTGTTAATTGAAAAGAAAGTAATTAGAAGAGGAAACTTCGATATGACTGACAACGCCCATTGTAAACTGAGCACTGCGACCAAACAAAATCTGAACAGCAATCGCGCTGCGTGGCATTAAAACGGTTAAACTCCTCTTGCATGCTTTTGTACAGTGGGCAACGAGACTGTTGAATCACGCAGCTGGCTACTCTCGTCTCGTAAATTACGAATAATTTACTCCCAACGACTGTTGGATTCGTGTACATAAAAATAAAGAAAAAGCAAAATTCACAGGGGGCGCGAATCAAACTGAGGACGGTGTCAAGCTTCGGGACGACCGCCGGACAGGTGCCATTCTTTCATTTCAAACTGTACAAGAAACTATCGAGAGCCGTTTGCGTCATACGAGAACGGGACACGGACTCGAACACCGTACGACCAGGAGCGGAGCCCATCGATCCGAGACACAAATTTACTACTTAAAAGACCGAACTGTACATACAGACCCGTGTAAAAAGTTTTGTACATACTATGCTATCTTTCAAAAAAAAAAAAAAAGTCTGCACAACGAAATCTATTGTAGTAAGTATCTGTATATACACAGCATTCACTCTTGTATATACAGGGTGTTTCGTAACTTGTGGGACCCACTTCGGGAACTGATTGTACGCCTAAAAATAGTGAAAAAAAGTCATATAAATATATGTCCTATCTGTCTTCATTTATGAGATACAATGAATTTTCTGTTTTAATTACTTTTACAAAAGATGCTCGAAATGACCACCGTTGCATTTGAAGACAAGCCTGCACGCCGTCTTGTCATTCATCTGGTTACTCTCTCCATCATTCCTGGTGTTTCTCGAATTTGTCGGAAGACTTGCTCTATTCTATTTCGTAGTATTTCGGCATTTTCAATCGATGTTGCGTATACGATAGATTTTAAATGTCCTCACAAATGAAAATCTAATGGATTCAAATCCGGAGAACGAGCAGGTCATGCAATAGGAGGACCTCCACGACCGATCCATTTATTTGCAAAGTGTTGATTTAAAAATTGCCTAGCCACTCGGCTAAAATGCGGCGGAGCTCCATCATGCATAACCCGCATACGAATAATTTAATATCGACTTGTAACTTTCTCTAATATTTCGTGTAAACGCGTGCTTAAAAAATCAACGTACTTTGTGCCTGTTAGTTTCCCATCAAGAAAAAAAGGTCCAATTAAAAATTTATCAATTATTCCTGCCNCATACGTTTAAACTAAACTGATGTTGATGTCTTGAATGCACAATAACACGTGGGTTTTCTTCATCCCAATCATGATTATTATGAAAATTGAATATACCATCCCTGGTAAAACTTACTAGAGTTTGCTCTGTTTACAAAATTCATTATATCTCATAAACAAAGACAGATAGGACATATATTTATATGACTTTCTTTTCATTATTTTTAGGCGTGCAATCAGCTCCCGAAATGGGTTCAACAAGTTACGAAACACTCTGTATATATATATATATATATATATATATATATATATGTACATATACCGCAACAGTACGATCTATGCTTTTGCTCTCTCGAATTCGAAGATCCGCACCTTCGCTCCAATTTTTCACTCAAAAAAAATTGTTTCACTCGAAAATTCCTCAGCGAGATTGAAACACGATGTCGATCGTTTTAACGATCAACGTTTTACGCAGCTCAGGGAATGCGTCGGCGAGGCTGTACGAACGTTCCCGAATTTCAACACCACGGACGTCAAACTGGCCCAATTGTACGTGAATACCACGGCGTGCGTGCTAGCGAAAACCCGTTGCTCCCAAATGAACCCGATAACCGGGGAATTTCAAGAAGACGATCTCGCTAATAAGCTGCACATACCTACGGTCAATGCGGTGCTGGTCAACACCGATTACGACATCAATATCGTGCAGCTACCGTTTCACTCCAGCTCCATCGACGTGTGCGCGAAATACAGGAACTACGAGCAGGCCAACTGGCCGAGCGTCGTCTGCTGATCGAAGAAAAGGGATTTCAGCTGATTTTATAATTGTCGTTAACAGTAATCAAATGAAATATTATAATGAATTCGTAATCAAATGGATTTTAGCACGAGCTCTGTAAACGTTGAGACTCTATGAAATAAACTGACGTAGAAGTGAAAGAACCATTCTTTCAAATGGTTGGTAATTTAATTTGAAGGCAGGCTGTTAAGGGGATATTATTCTGGTAATTTTGCTGAAAAAAAAACCAATTTTTTCTTTTATATTTTCTCAAAGTATATGCTTTCGGAAATGTCTATGTACAAGGATTTGTTTAAATTCGTAAAATTAGCAAATTTATAAATGTTCAAAGGAAATAGTGTACTGCTCGCAACGTATGAATATTTTTGTACAACTGGTAACAAAAACTGTGTTTTTCTAGAAAAATATTTTATTTTATAATATTATTATTTACTTCTGTATTATTATTATTTTATATTTTATTTTTTGTACTGCTCGACTGATTGTAAGTATGAATATTTTTTGTACAACGAGTAACAGTAACTTCAAATGTGTTTTTCACAAATCCATATTTTTTAAACTGGCTGACGGGTTATCTCACGTTTTAGTTGACCGATCGACTTGAAATTTGAACGAGATGTACCTTTATCGCATGAACCACGAATTTCAAAATCTAATGTTCTTTTTTCTATTTTTGTTTACCACACAAAGGACGAAAAGCACAAGGCAAATCGATATTTTAACTTCAAAATACTGTCATTTTTTTAATTTTCGGAATTTCGCTGTTTCCGTGGTTCATGCGATAGCCATATCTGTACTAATTAAAGTGCATTTTGGTTTTTTAGTTTCAAATGAGCAGGACCGGAATCACGTCAGCCATTCGAACCCGTTTTTTAAAAACATGCTTTACCTAAGGCTATATAATTTCCACAACTTTCATTAATTTCGTTAAAAAAAAAAAATTGTAAATACTCTTTAAGTACGAATCTGTGTGCGAAAACTGCATACTAAAACGTATCATGGTTTCCTTAGAAAAAAATCTAAAAAAAAAGTCGATTTTTTCAAGCCGGGATTACCGGAATAGCCCTTTAAATATGAATTTGGAGCGAGCAAAGAGTCACTTCTCGTGAACAGTTCAATTCGAGAATAGCTACGAGTTTTATAGCTGACCTGGACAAATCTATAATTAGCACTTCCTGGAAGCCGGTCGTTCGAATTTTTGTCTTCGAATGATCGCAATGATTCGTTGGGACCTGTTCGCTGTTCGAGTTAATCCGCGTCTACACGACGCGATTTTTCCCGCCAATCTTAGCCATTTCTACTTCTCGTTGATGAATCGAATCGTGGCATATACAACCTAAGTATCGATTACACTAGGTTGGCGAACATTGCGAACGAGTAACGTACGTTCCGTGGAATGCAATTTCCACTTTACGAGTTAAGTTAACAGCAGTTACTCGCGCCGCGAGTCACGATGACACAGAAAGATAGCGTGTAATAATAAAGATCCGAGAAAATGACACGAGTCATCATTCTGAGTGCAAATCGTGGCGCGCAGTGCGCGATATCCTGAGTCATCGTCTCGGAGCAACCTAGTCGAACAAGGAATGCATAAATCCACCATCGATGACGTCGTCCTCGGCGTGAATCCTCCTTTTCCTCCGCGAGTATCAAACGATCCTGCTAGATGTGGGAGACCATCGTCGCACAAAAATGGACACTTTACTCGTCCCGAGATTCGGTATATGACGCGCGTGGAGCGATCTTGCAGGAATTATGACTAAAGTAATCACGGTAGAGTCGTAACAGCGACGAAAGAATGTACGAATAGCGGCATAAATGAGCAAATGCGTCGTAGCCGGTTCATCGACGTCGAGTACACCGGACGCGGATGTTAAAAAGGAAGTTTACGATATTACTTATCCCGTGAAGTGATCGCAACGGAACGGCCGATAAACAAGCTTACGACAAATTACACGGCGAAAGAACCAAAAACGACCTACTATGGCTAGATCCACTATACACCGGTGCAGCCGAGTTAACCCTCTATCAGACGAATTTCTTTTCATAATTATAAAGAAAATCTATGCAAAGTATAAAATCAATAAATATCAACCTGCAAGTACAGAGATTAACAATTCAGCAGTTTCAACTTTTATTATGAATACGTTTTGTAACTTTCGAGGTAACAACGAGGTTACAACGTTTGCGCTTGTGTGTATAAAAACTTAGGTATCTTAAGGAATTCTATGATACAGTTTATGCTTGACGTTAAACGTAGATATACGTACGCATTTCGAACGTTTTTACTTTTGGAACCCCTTTTGCACTCTTGTCTGACGATTTATCACTAAATTCATCGTGTTGGGTAAAAACATTTAATAAAGAATCTTCGAAATCTATTGCCAGAAGCTAATGCTTCTTATTCTTATTGCTCTTTTATTTTTACACGATTTTGTATTTGTATTTTATATCTCTCACATATAAAACTAAGAAGCAAACAAAGCACAAGCGTTATCGCAAATACACTGAAACCTACTGTTACAGCTCGGTGTGACTTGAAAAAGTTACAAAGCTACATCATATGAAAATAGTAACGAAATGACTGTTGAAATGTAAAGAAATAATATATTATTGATAATAACCAAGTTATTTTTAGGTTAGGTTACAAACTAAGAACTATTAAGTACGCTGTTTCTTGTTTAACAAACACCTATAGAAGGAAATAGACAATAGAAGAAAGGATAAAAGGAAAAATAACGATAATTATATAAGATGGTTCCTTTAGCTTCTATCTGCAGACAATTTGCAAAAGCATTTACTTCGATATTTTAGGTTAGGACTCATAACTGTTAGAATGTTATAGGTTAGGACACATAGGACTGCAAGAATGTTATAGGTTACTAAGAAGACATTATGTATGTGACGGCGCACGTATCTTTAGAAAACGAGTTTCACAGCGGCGACGTTGATTACAAATGAAGAAAGACAAAACTATAGCAGAAAATATATTGTATCCTCAGTTGTTAAAAACCGACCAAAGCAAACATGAAGATCTTGTTATACATAAATTAAAATACGTAATAATTAATAAATCTAGTAACATGTTTATTCAAACGAAGTAAACCTCCATATTTAACAAGATGTGATACGCCATCTTGTGGAAAAGAATTAAATTACTTAATAAAATATCGATATATTAATACACGATTTGAAAATTACATGAGCCTATAGAGAGTGATAAAGGAGTTGATCGATTTTCTTATTCTTATTGCTCTTTTATTTTTACACGATTTTGTATTTATATTTTATATCTCTCCCATATAAAACTAAGAAGCGAACTCTATGACAGATAATATCCCAACGAGATTTTTAAATACGACAGCCAACCGAATGAAATCAGTATTCCGCAAATAGGTGTCTAGGACATTCAGCTTGGCGGTGATATTTAGCCAACAAATATCCGGATATTCGACGGTAATCGGATATCAAAGAATCTCCAAGGGTTATCGTCATCGGACGAAGAAAAAAAGGGCTTAAAAGAGGAAAAGCACGCGGAGGTTTCCCTGTCGCGTTTGTTTGCCAAGGTGAAACTCTCCGGCTAATTCTCTCGAGGCTGGGAGAACAGTCAGAGGGATCGACCGGATCGATTCCTCCGCGACATCGGTGTGCACTCATGTACTTATGAGAAAGGACGAGCGAAACGATGAGCAAAAGAATGGGCAACGGGTGGAAAAGGGAGGGAGGGGGGAGAGGGGAAGGAGGAGGAGAAAAGAAGCGACGAAGACGAAAGGAAGACCGGTCCATTGCACAGAGGCGACGCTCCACTTAGCATCTTCCTCGAAATAATTTGAAATATGCAAATATCATTGATGCACACGCGCTCGCGTGTTGGCACACGAGCCTAGCCGGTGTGCGTATTTATGTGTCCTGTGTGTGTATGTGTGTGTGTGTGTGTGTGTGTGTGTGTGTGTGTATCACGAAAGAGGAGAGGCCAAGACGCGAGGGAGAGAAGACAACGTATATTCCAGTGGCTTACGGTTCAGTTCTCTCGGAGCCAATCTAACTTAACATGCAGATGCAGTACGTGGAATCGTAGAGGCGACAGAGAGAGGCCGTTGCAGAGAGACCACAAGAGACAGAAAGATGGAAAGAACGGGAACGAGAGAGAGAGAGAGAGAGAGAGAGAGAGAGAGTCGGTGTCTGTCCTTCTGTGAGTCATTTGTGGCGATAGTACCTTTTCCGTATGATCATTCACCGTTACTGCCTTTAATGTCTTCGCGATTCGAAGGATCCTTTTAAGACGGGACGTGATTTTAATGAATAAACCGTTCGACCGCTGCCTCGGACACAGGTCGATAAAAATTATCCGGCCGAATCATCCTCTGCACGTATCGTTGCAGATTAACAGAATAAGTTTGAAAAAAAAAGTTGAATCTTATTAAGGAAAAAAATAAACGAAAAACAGATATCGTCCGATCCCGACACGAGGCGAGTTCGCGAACGGAGGTGCATCGTTGATTAAATTCACAAGGCCGCGAGGTTGTACAGCCGTGAATAATATAATCTGATCTTTCGAAAAGGTCGGGGGCTGACTATTCTCGCTGGATTACTCCTTCTCGCTTAATACTCCTTCCTTTCGTATCGTGATACGTGATAATTAACATATGTAATTCTCTTTGTTTCTCGATTTTCGGAGCAACTGGGATACATGTTAAAAGCGTCGTATTTTTTCGTGTCTTTTCGCTAGAATTTGAATTTTCTTCACGATCGGACATATGAAAAAAGATCGCATATGAGTACGGAGCTTTTATAGTATATCCCGGGGCTACGTAGTCTCGTTACGAGCGCGAGTCTCGTTTACAAGCGCAGTTCCAGCGGATTATAAATTTATGTCGAGTCGTAAACTCTTTCGCGCAAGATTTAACAAAGTGTCTACTTAATAAACAAACAATCACTTCCTGCGGTTAACCGCGGCGAAAATTCCACGGACTCTCCCCTCTCACCACGTGAAACATTAATTTCGGCAAGATACTAATAAACTGAACAAATAGACATTACGCGGACAAAGCTCTAACGTCATCAGCCAAAACCTCGCCGCCATGCATTTCTCATCAGTCACACAGGATTAAGTATGCGTGTGACGTGGAGGTTGCTTCACCTACGCGGCCTCCCATCCTCTCCCCCTTCAGCCAAGAAACCACGACTTTCTTTCCTTTCCTCTGCTGTTTCTGAAGATTATCTCACACGACACCGCAACTGAGTGAAAGATCATTTGTAAATTACTTCTCAAAGTTATTTCAAAAATAATTTACTTGTAAAATAACGAAAAATTGTA